CGAGTTGAGTCATATAAACCTGTTTCTGACAGATAATTCCCATATCACTAATACGAATGATTTTTTTCATTTTGGGAGTTCCAAGTTTATTAAGTTCAGGGTTCATATAAGTATACTTTCACCATACATTTCAATTTTCATTTCGATACTGAACATATTGGTGAGTTATATTTTTGAATCATAATACATCATTGTATTTCAGTCGATTTGAGAGATGATGTTAATTCTCAATTTCAGAGAATTTTGATTTTTCATGCTCTCTTGTTGGATATAATTCAATGTTCGACGTGGCAAATAGCCAAGAAAATAGTTGTTATCTGTTAAATATTCAGAATGATATTATATGCATATCTTTATACGAAAACTCCTTCATCCATAGAACGGCTAGGCTCTGGAATTCATTGCCTGAGGAAATATTCCTAATAACATATAATATCCAGAGGTAAAAAAGAATCCAATACCTACCTCTTGTTCCTATCCTCTCTAGGAACGCACGATGTTCTTTGAATATTATAGGAATTTCCTTTCGTGCGCTCCAAGCGATTAGAAAAAGAGAATGCAGATTCTCTACTTCAGAAGATTTTGTTTTCAGATTCTTATTGTGTATGTTCAATAGATGTAATTCAATATTCGTCGTGGCATATAGCCAGGAAAATAGTTGTTTTCTGTTGAATATACAGAGAAAAAATTGATATTTTCACCACATAGAGAATGCGGATTCCCAATGTATTTCTTTATATATATATTTATAGTTTCATGTTATAATTCATCTGAGGATATTCCTTTTCGATACTTTCACCCAATCAAGGGGTTCAAACTTGAACGATGAAAACTTGTTATTTTTATAGACCTTCAATCGCAGATTCGTGATCAGGTTTTTTCAATTCAGAATGCCTTTTCACGTCCTGATAATGATGAATATCAATTTGTTATACATTCAAAAACAAATAGCATTGCTGTTTCCTGAACGAAGAGGGATAAAAAATTGATAGAATTAAACTGAAGTTGCATAGTTTCAACTTCTTCAATATGCCATTTTGCAAACTGAAAAAAATTTGTGATTCTGAGTTATCTCGCAATATTTCAGGAAAGGCAGAATTTTTCTCAATTTACAAAACGGATTATTTAAGAAGTTCCATTTATGCAACTTTGATTCAATTTCGTCAACTGTCTATTCTCTGTCTATTGCCGTTTAGGAAATAGCAATACTGTCCCTATGAAATCGGTGGGTGAGCAGCAAATGTATATCGACTGCCTTGGCTGAATTCATAGCCCTGCTACGCTCCGCTATGAACTATCAGCCGCGGCAGTCAATCCACTACTTTTCTGCCTAGTAAAACAAATAACTATATATGCTGTAGGTATTTGATCCTACGCAGTGATTCAGTTACGTTTATTCAATAGTACCTATGTCCTTTTTTGTTTTCATCGTTGAATATGCTCAGTTTGTTTTAGTATGTTTTTGGAAAGAAAATATTAGATGATGATATCAATTGAAGAATCGTAGATCCGCCATTGAACTGGGTATTTTTTGATGACGTTCTTCGAAAGATGTATGAATGTTTCGAAATAATGATTTCATCCTGGTAGATTCAGCAAGGACTCTGCAACTCTCGTTGCTGCCCGAGTGTTCATCGTATGTTTGACGAAAGATCGAAAGATAATGAGATGACAAAGGCATGTATAGGTTTTGATGAAATCCCTTGCGGAACCCTTCCGGGCATGGCAATCTGCCCATCTGCCATATCATTTTCTGCTTTCATACCTGTGGGGCCAGGAATCCAGACCAGAGACAATTCGTTAAATCTTCCTATTGCAAAGAGGTTTTCATGGCAGGTCAATACCAATTCAGACGTCGATCGTTACAAACTACAAACTCACGAGCCGCTTGGCTGATCAAAAAAATGTCAACAAAGATAATAAAGTAGTTGTATAAAAAAACTTAAAAAACACGCTCTCATGGATATAAATGGAAAATCCGGAGAAGACTACAGAATTCCGATTGGAAATTTGGATGATATAAGTAAATTGATATGCTGCTCATTTTTCTGCACTCTACATGGCTGATCATGGTTTCCGAACAAGGAATTCACTGCGGAAATATAGAATACATTTGAAACAAGCAAAAGACTTCTTTCACTTCAAATAGAGACTGAATGGCTATATCCCTACGCAAACTTCAATAACCTTGATGGTTCATTTCATTATTCATCGTGTTGAAACCTGAAGTGAGTGATTGCATCAGGCTGAAAAGTATCGAATAGCTCATTGAAGGTTCCACAAATCACTCATAGAGAACATACAATAATTATACCCTTAGTTTTATCTCATTAAACTTCTCGAGGAGCCTTTGAAATCAATGACCTGACCTGACCTGCTACATCAAAAACAAACAAACGAGTTACCATCTGAAGACAATGTTATCACATCATCTGGAAATTCAGGGGACAGTGTTTTTAACAACTTCAACTGAATGCGAGAATCAATAATGTCGGTCTTGAGTTAGACATCAAATCTCACCCTGGATTTGGTAAGAAAAAAAACATCCTCTGTAAAATGGATGAAACAGAAGTTCAGATGATGAACATTTCAAATTTGACTGTATCCCAAGACCATTATTCGTAATTGGATTGGAGAAACATCGAGTACATCCCATCTGATAGGTTCAGATAGGCATCAGGAGTATTTTGGATAGGTACTTTATATACTTCGTCTTTTCACTTCGTCTCCATGATCAACAAGTAGTTATGCAGTCTTGAACATAAATATAACTTCATCACAATAACTAAGTATTTTATTGATATTATTAAAGACAAGTGGCCGCTAATGAAACTGGAAACATTTCGTTGTTTGCAACAAACCGATGAAAATGCATGACCTATGTCTCAGTACTTTCTCTCCTCTCCTGTATTACCTAGAGTCACTGGATGGTATTAGTAAGATAAGTGTTCGGACACAGCTGAACTTCCGTCCTTTTTTATTTTTTATACTACAATGTTTTGACTGAATAATGAAAGAATAAGACATATATTCTGCTCTTTGTCCTTTCAATTTCCCTAGTAGCGCCTGATTGTCAGATACGATTTTAGAGGTTACATTTTCTGTCAAATCGATCATACCCGTAGATGGATAATGGGAATAAGATATAAACACCAACTTTAATTCATCTAGCAGAACAGCTGTTATATAAATACACTCACCGGCAAAATTGACCAACCACCAAAAAAATTTCCAGGATTTTTCACCCTGTAACTTTTTTAATCCTTGCCCGATTCTTTTGAAATTTCGATAACATCGTAGATTTATGTTCCGGAATATTAGCCTGAATATTAGTTTGAGTTAAAAGCTGATGACTTTATTCAGGGAAAAATCAAAGTTACTATTCACCCTTTATTTCTTAATGCCCTATGGCAAAATTGAGTGGTTGAACTTGGTTTCAATATGCTTCGGATTGAAGTGTAATCCTTTCTCAACAAGATAGTTTTTGAATCACGTCATCAACACTTATATTAACAATAATCAGAACCTATATAAACTTATTGATTAACAACTTGAAGAATTGATATCACATATTTCTACCTCATTTGCTTAGCACTCAAAGAACAAATCTCAATTACGAAAAACAAACAGAAAGCATATATATTTTTTTTTTTTATCGATTGGAGCGCACGAAAGGGAATCCCTATAACGAGTCATTCAACGAGACATGGAGGGCGAATCGAAGCTCTTGAGGAGTCTCTCACTTGGCCAAACTAGGGCGAATGAGCCTCTGGAGTTCATCCCCAAGATGCTCTATAAGGTCGAAATTATTGTTGATAACAATTTAAAATATCCAAACTTTCCTAAAATACATGTATCTTCTCTTGAAAAGAAGATATTGACTTGAATCTAGAACCATTGTGTTGAGAAGGGACGAAAAAGGATCACACTTCAATTCAAAACATGATGATGCAAAAAATTGGAGAATGGTTCTGAATTATTGTTAATCAAAATACAAAAATCCATTACTTCCTTCATTTTCAGCAGGTGTTTATAAGGGTGGTACCTCAAGTATATTTGATGGCAAACGCTCAATTTATTGTTTTGATTCTGCACCTCTCCGTGCCTTCACTTCTCACTGTTGAATTTTGAATTTGGTCGGTACCAAAAACGCCATTCAATAATATACCACGTTGTAGTTTACTTGCTTGTCTTAGTTTTGTTTTCATATTTTCATCATGTAATTTTGCGATCAATTCCTCTTCTTCCATCATCATTTTGTTTTGTATTTTGTGTGATGATAATGATGAAATTTCGTTCCTGAAATTGTCTGCTTTGTAAATGGATGGAACAGCAGATTCTCTCAAACAGATTTTGTAATCTTCTGTTTAAAACTGAGCCTGAAATATATTTCCATTCTAATCAGATGCTGTTATAAAATGTTGGTTTTAATGAGAACCTCACAAATTTTGCTTCTATTCAAATTGATTTTCCACCCAGGCCGTTTCATATCGTCCTTCCATAAGCGAATGGTTGACATTCGTTTTGGAAAATTGAATAAATAATTTAAATTTTTTTCAGAATTGGCACAATTCATTACACAGCAAGTCATTTCCATAACTGCTTTTGTCTCTGAAGTATAATCATGAAATTTTATTTCAACTCTGACGTTTGAAAAATTCATTGTCAAATTCAAACAATTTTGGAAGAAGAAGCGCGGAACAACTATGGTGCTCTGGTCACAATGTAAGGTGTGTAACTTGATAAATCTAAACATTCAAAAACCCTAACCGTTGTCATTTCTGTGTCCGAACTCTTATCAAACTAATAGCATTCAGTGACTCTAGTATTACCGTACAGTCTGAGATTAGTAAAATTAGATCCATATTTCGATACCCATGTTTTGTTCACCAATTTGGTATGGAACCATGGGATCGCGATCGTGAGATATGAAGGTTTTGAACACACGCTAGCATCTGCAAATCTGCCACCCTTATAGCAGGAAATGTTTTTTTTTGCAGGTACGGGTGGAACCGAAAGTACAATCTTACAGAGGAACAACACCTGCACAACCTTCGTGAGTACGAAGAGGAAGACCGGTAACCGTGGTTCCAACCACAGCGTCCAGCTGCCCGTCAGGTCGCTGTCCCTTCGGAATACCTGTCCGAACAGCCGAAGATCGCGGCATGCCAACGTGATGGACGATCAAATCTGAAGAGGCTGTGAAGAGTGACGAGGATACATAATTTTATGTTTGATGTTGATTCGATGTAGATGATTCCACGTTTACCTACCATTAAAAGATATTTATTAATTGTGAGCATATCAATAGCACGTCTTGGATGCTTCCTTCTGGAGGGTGAATCGTTCAAGATCAATTATGTGCAGGGTGATTCAAATCTCATAGATTCGGCTCAAAGCAGGAAATTGGGAAATGCAAATGCCAAACTTTGCAGAGGAAATTAGAATAGCTCTGTATGAGGTATGGAACTCTAGAGTTAACATCTTCAAATGAATCTCTACTGACCCCACCATAAAAAAAATCAGACTATTCCGTATGTCACATGAATTGGGTACATTTCGAACTGATTTGAACTAAAACCCGTCTGACTCGATCTGCATTACGGAGGCGTCAGTGAAGATTTCTAATACAAAGATTAACCATTGCCACAGCAGTTCGTGAAATAAACGAAAAATAGTCAATAGCGAGAGAAACACAACTACTTTCCTGACTATATCTATACGTTTAGGAAAAAAACAATTGCAACCTTATTCGTCTTTACGAATCGTTGCATAGATATTGAGAGGATGTAATTCAATGTCCTGATTCGATGTCCTGCGTGGCATGTAGCAAGGAAAGTGGTTGTTTTTCTCTAGTTATCTACATCACATCACAATCATATTATCGATTCAGATCATTCTTTCAATGCTTTCAACAATTCTGGAATCCTCCACATATGCGAGAAAGGTTTAAAACTTAATCTCCTGAAAATTCTCGAAATTTCACAATGTATCAATGATCCTAATTTTTCTGCCTCAATGTAATTAGTAACTCATCCACCTGTCATCAGCTGTATGTGCTATGAGAAATTGAATATAATGTTCTCTGAAAAATAATAACCTTGGTAAAAAGACAAATGCTCGTGTATTTGAAACATTTATTGTAAAGCTATGACATTTTGGATCAATTGATCGCATTCATCGATCGAATGGAATTTCAATCAATATGAACACAAAGGCCATAATGACATAACAGATATCAGGAGCTGTTACAGGGTGTTTGATTATATTCAAGAATTCAAATACCCCGTAACAGTTCTTTTCTGATATGTTAATGTATTTTTTATTGATATGGATTGAACTGAAATGTTTTATCTATTTCGGGCACAGATACGGCCAGTTCAAAATTCTGTTCTCATATATGCAGTTCAGCACTCAAATATACCCTAATGCCCCCAGATTCCATCCAGAGAAAAACTCTTTGCCTGGTGGGAGAAACCACACTCATTTACCCTCTGACCTCAACAGAATACTGTAGAAAATTTGGCGACCTTCCACTTTTTTATTGATACTTCTACGGAAAATTTCTGCTATAATTCCATCACTAGCAATACCAGTCAGACGAACTCGATAGGACCATTTAGCGCAACATTCCGTCCTTAACGTTGACATTATGTAGAAGAAAACTCTACCAAAACTCGTTTGCATTCAGAACGGCGAAGATTTGAAAATCTTTGCCAATTGATGTATTCCCAAGAAATTATAACCTTTAGTTATTCAAGAGAAATTCAAACACCTACCTCCTCTCTCTATCATCTCTAGGTACTCACGATGTTTCACGATCATTATAGGAATTTTTTGTCGTGCGCTCCAAGAGTTTTACGGCATTGATAAATTGAAGAATATTCTTTGGTCACACAAGATACGAATATTATTTTCTTCTACTTGTTCTTTCTTCATTGTTCATCTTCTCATGAAACATTTATAATGATGCATGTCATTATGATGATTATTATTTTTTCCTTTCCTTATGTTACTGAAGGTTGCAGCTTCCTTTTTATATTCGTGAATATTGAAAGGAGATTGTGCTTCTTCTTAGTTAGTGGCCGATTGAGATCTAAACTACGCAACACTAATTTCGTCGCACCCCAAAATTTTGCCTCTGTTGAAATATGAATGATTTTTTTTCCGCTTTCAACGATTTGAATTCGGATCACACTGTCCGCTAGCCCAGTTCTTCAGCTATAATCTCGTGATTCTTCGAAACATAAGGTTATTCATATAAAATTGCTTTAGGGTGTTACCTGAAACTGTGCAAAATTTCGGAAATTTCGAACGTATCCCAAATGAAGAAAAACTATTTTTTTCAACTTTGACAGTAGAGGCAAGTAGATGATCTTATCATCTTGAAACAGTTCTCGAATTGTCTCCCCATCTCTTTTATTTACAGAGTGATCTCAAAAAATCAACTTTTTGGTTTTGCAGTCATAACTTTTTGCCTTGTCAACCGATTTTTGGAATCTCAAGCTCATTTTGAGGCTCAAACTCCAGATGGAGAGATATGGAGATCAGAATTGACTCAAGATGAACATTATACAGTGTGTCTCAGTTCTAATGGAAGCACTTCTGTATCTTTCGTAATTGCTGAGTTAGGATTCTGAAATTCGCAAGAGCGGTAGATATACTGAAAACTGAAAATACACACTATGACCGAGTGGAGTCGTCTTCAGTGATATACACTGCTCGCCAACAGTCATGGAACCACCCACGAGAATGATATAAGGAGGCAAGATGTAGGTTGAAAATCACTTCGGATTCGAAATCAGGACGTCCCTTTTGCTTCCTCCTGCAAATTTCAGAACCTTTCATGTGAAGTAAGACGAAATTCAATTCTTCTGAACTGACAATTTTATGGGAAAAATGTGTATAGTTAGTGAATTGGACTCCCTGACTTCGAATCCGAAGTGATTTTCAACATTTCTTGGCTCCTAATAACATTTTCCGGAAATTTTGGTGGTTCTATGGCTGTTGACGAGCAGTGTTCATAACTAGAGATGACTCCACTTGGTTATAGTGTTTATTTCCAGTATTTCTCCCTCTCCTGTGCAAACGAAACATACAGGGGTGCTTCCATTATAAGTGAGATACACTGTATAATGTTCATCTTGAGTCGATTCTAATCATAATATCAGTCCATCTGAAGTTTCAGCCTTGAAATGAGATTTCATAAACGGGGTGACAAGGAAAAAAAATATGACTGCGAAACCAGAAAGGTAATCTTTGGGATCACTCTGTTATTGAAAAAGATAAGAAGACAATTTGAGAAATATCCATAGGTAATGAGATGGTCTTCATGCCTCTGCTGTCGAAGTTGAGAACAAGCAGCTCGGTGGTCGAGAGCGTGAAGACGCTGAGTTTCTTATGAGGACTCTCACCGAGACATAGGATCGAATCCTAGTTAGGCCATGGATGTTTGTGTTTGTATGCATACCTAACTCCGCACAAGTTTCGACTTATGGGGCGTTTGGTCCCAGTGCTGGGACCATCGAGGTAATGCAATTGCAAATAGTTTTTGTTCATTTGGGATTCTTTTCCACAGTTTCAAGTGACACCCTGTAGCGATTTGTAGGACTGGGCTAGCGAACAGTGTAATCCGAAATCAAATTGTTCAGAGCAGAAAAAAGTTATTCACATATTTTAACAGGGACAGAATTTTGAGGTGCGACGAAATTATTGTTACGTAGTTGTTTTGGAATAGTGAACCCCAATAAACTTAGCAGAACCACTTCAATATTTCGGATTTGCAATAGTACCATAATTTGTTACTAATTTAGTACTGATTTATTATCATATTAATATATAAGTCAATACAAACAACACATCAAAACTTATTGAAGATGTAGACATAAAAAATATAGAGAATATAAAGAATAATAAAAATTATATGAGATCCTGATTAGGTATCACAGTCAAAAATAGAAATTTTAAAATACTATATCTAGTATCTAGACTAGCCTATGGATTCTCCATATTCAGTTAAGTTATTGAAGAGTGGCCTGAAAAAACTCCTGAACATCATAAGGAACTAGATCTAGGAGAATATTCTTCACAGATGATCTAAATCGTTTATACCCTTCACGTCATAGAAAGTACGTCATAGTGACGTCATAAATTGGTGTGTGACGTCTCTGACAAAAAATCACCAATTAGGGACGTCACAGTGAAGTGATCATTCGTTATCTGGTTGCCTGGGCAAGGATGCTTCCATTAGAAGTGAGACACACTGTATAATGTTCATCTTGAGTCAATTCTAATCTTCATATCAATCCATCTGAAGTTTCAGCCTCGAAATGAGATTTCATACACGGGGTGACAAGGAAAAAAGTTATGACTGCAAAACCAGAAAGGTAATTTTTGGGATGACTCTGTGATTAAAAGAGATAAGACAATTTGAGAAATATCCATAGGTAATGAGATCGTCTTCATGCTTCTGCTGTCGAAGTTGAGAACAAAAAGTGTTTGTTCATCTGGGATTCTTTTCCACAGTTTCAGGTGACGCCCTGTAGCAATTTGTAGGACTGGGCTAGCGAACAGTGTAATCCGAATTCAAATTGTTCAGAGCAGACAAAAGTTATTCACATATATTAACAGGGACAAAATTTTGGGGTGCGATAAATTAGTGTTGTTTGACATATTCCAAGGTTAACAACGAAAGGGACGGGGTGAGGATTTTCATCTGGCGTGAGCATTTCCTTCATCATTCGAATTATCAGACAATTGAGGTAACACCTCTTGGATGAGATATTTAGGATAACTAGAAATCCATTAATTGAGATAAGAATACATTTTGTGGGCGCCAGGATCTTTTAAGAACGCAAGATGCCCAATAATTAGTGAATAAGAAAATTACTTGAGTAATAGAAATAATCACTCCAGTTGGTATGTTCTTCATTTGGAAGGAAACTCATATTCACAATAATATCAATATTAACAAATATCATCAGACTTTGTTCGATCGAAATTATTCAAAACTAATTATTCACGAATTGTTATTACTCAACTTTTCAATAGAAAGTTCCAGATCTCCAATGTTTGATATAGTTCGAATATGATTCAAATTAAAAATATTGAAATTTGTTCGATAACCCTTAACTGAAATTATTGATGAAATTATCGAATGGACTCGTCCAGCGACTCGGTGGTCGAGAGCGTGAA